TTTTTAATTCCTCAGCTAGTGGGTGAAGGATAAAGAACCTGGAATGCAGAGGCTACACCAAATGGACGTGTGACCCTGAGCTGGTGCTGGCTAATTACTGAACTCACTGCATCTGTTTCTTTCTTCTCTGCTTTCTAGGACAGCAGCGCCCCCTATGGGGCCAGGTACGTGGGCTCCATGGTGGCTGATGTGCACCGCACCCTGGTCTATGGAGGGATTTTCTTGTACCCAGCGAACCAGAAAAATCCTAAGGGCAAGGTAATTCCTCTTTGCTGTATCCGGTCAGGGAGACAGCTGTGTTTCCCTTTCTCTTCACACATGCTTTTTGGCTACTTCCCTGTCTTGGCATGTCTTTTTGTGAGTGGGCAGACAGAAAAGAAATGGGGTATATTTCCCATTAGTGAACTTTGAGGCTATAGTAGTACTTTTGGAGAAGAAGAAGGCTGAAGTTGTTGATGTTGGTGATTTTTCTGGCCTTATGTCCATCATTCACCATGAGTCAGCTGTGTTTATCTCCCACTTTCCATATGCTGTGTCTGACTTGTAGCTTCAGCACCAACTGACTTTGGATCATAGACCCCTTTGAGAAGCTAATGAAACTTATGGACCCACTTCTCAGAAAAAAATGCATGCAAACATGCACATTACATACATTTTCAGGGGATTCAAAGATGACCTGAAGTCCACTCAAGATCCCCTAGAAAGTTTCTAAACTCCAGAATCAGAACTTCTGCTCAGAACTCATTCAATATTTCTGGAAAGTTAGGTCCTAGAAGATCTTAAGCAACTCTATGACACAAAATTGAAAATACTTATGTTATCAAGTAGGAATCTTATGATCCAAATGCATCTATCTTGAATAGGCCCTCCCAAGGAAAGGTATCTGATTTTTAGCCAATCACAGAAATCATAGCAAATTATGCAAATCAAAACAAAGACCTGGCATATTCTCTGACACACGAGCAACTGGCCACACATGTATATGTCTCTCAAGGTAGGTGATTTGAATTATTTGAATGCCAGATTCAAAGCCATGATCAGATCAACAGCACATGAGACCAGAGAGATTTTTCAATATGCAGACTAATATGTCAGGCATTTCTTGTCATATTGTCATATGAGTGTTGAGCTCATACATATGAACCTATTGAACCTGAATCACAAAAAAGTCTGCACAGAAGGTGCTGGAGCAAAGAAAAGTGTCGTGGAGTATTAAGTGAGATTAAGTAAAAGTTGTGGAAACTCTTAAATAGAATCACTCTTGCCATCTACTTAGTTCCAACAGGGAGAACATTAAGAGTAACTATTACTAATTACTAAAATGTTTAAAATGAGTCAGAAAACATCCACATATGATTACATAAACATTTTCATAGACAGGTATAATTCCATATATAGACTTATATTCACAGTGCCATGACCACCACCCATAATTAAAGCACTATTGTTCTCTGATCTCCATGTTTCAGCTCTCACAGTCTCTGTGACCACATCTGTGTGTGTGTGTGGCAGAAGGGGCGGGGGGCAGTATGCTTCTCCGCCTGTGTGTGCCTGTCTTTATAGAGCCATGTAGATTTTGACTGCAGAAAAAAATCGATTACATGGCCTGAAGGCCAAGATACCATGAAGACCTGGGCATTGTGTTTCAAGATGGGTTTACTACACCAATGGCATCTTAAGGTCAGAGCAAACCTTGGCTCCAATGCAAGCTTTATGTGAGAATGCTCTCTTTTTTGGAAGTATCTAAATCAACGTGGTATGAACAACAGTTAATTGGTTGCAACCTGCGACTTTATTATCTGACACCCCAAAACCCCTGCCCCCAAACCCCGAGTGCAAGGGAAAAGGGGGAAGGAGCCAAGCTCTCCAAGTTGCCAGTCAGACTCGCCCTGGCAGCCTGTCCAGGACAGTGTGGCCTCCAATGTCCCTCCTGTGGACAATCAGGGACCCAAGCCTGACTCCTCACAGATAGAGCCTCCTAACCAGGCTTGCAGTTCAGTTTGCATCATTACCGAACCAACAAGAGAAGGGTACCAAGACCTCATTCTCCCAAATAAAGAGGGAGGTCTCTTGTGAGGGTCACAAGTCAGGTAATTACTGACCAGAGGAGCCCACAAAGGTAAATGTGGTGAGCATCAGCTGATGCACCCAGCCTTGTGGAGGGTCTAGATCTCAGGCAGCCCCTCTGCCGAGGTGCATGACCTGGTCTCCCTAACGTAACAAGACAGAAGTTCAGCAGTTGAAATTCCTGGTCAAGTTTTAGGGGTATGGCTCAAGATTTTTGGCCACTTGCCAAGCTTGTCTACTTGCCTGTTTCTCCACAGCTCCGGCTCCTGTATGAGTGTAATCCTGTGGCCTTCATCATTGAGCAGGCGGGAGGCTTGGCGACCACAGGCACCCAGCCTGTGCTGGATGTGAAACCTGAGACCATTCACCAGCGAGTCCCCCTGATTCTAGGGTCCCCAGATGATGTGCAGGAATATCTCACCTGTGTACAGAAAAATCAGGCAGGCAAGTAGTGAGTTTGACCCTGAGAATCCTCTTCTCTTTGTCTTGTACCTTGTACTGAGGACCCTAGGTGAATGATAAACAGCCACAGTGGTGATGAGTAATAAACTGCCAATCCACCGAATTACAAACAGAAGAGTAGTAGTAAACTGCTCATGACAGGTCTAGAGGGCAGATGGGGTTCTGTGGTCAGTGTACATGGCTAAAAATAAAAACCCACATGTGAAAAGAACAACTTTGATTTGTCTTCTGTCATGAACAGTGGCAAATAGGGTTGTAATTTGAAGTCTGTCAGTTCAAGTAATTGGCGGGTATCTACTTGTGGGCAAAAAGTACAGAAATCAATTAAGAATTTGTCTTGGTTGGCTTAAAACTTGAACCTAGTGTCTTATCCTGTAGTGATTCATTTCCTTTTGTCATAAAAAATACATATGTTGAATATATATAGTATATATTATATATTTAAATGTATATTTATGTATTTTTAAATGGCTGACTTAATTTCTTAGAGTTTTTGTTTTATTTTGGTTAAGGTTTGAGTTAGAAATCTGATGGCTATTAAATTCTAAAATTTTGAATTGAGTCTTTTTTGGGAGCAATAACTTGAATGACCAGTAACTGAATGGAAAAATGTGGTCACCTATTGACAAATCTATAAACTAAATGGAGTTAATATTTAAAAACTAACACCTACTTTTCTCAACCCCTTAATTTTGCATTTTTATGTTGGGGATAAATGTCTTAATTAACCCTAGGGCTTAACCAGAGTGCACTGATTAAATGACTCTTCATTTGTCCAAATTATGTCAACATTGGGATAGGGTGGCAAATGCGTCAGAAAACTCAGCTTGTTTTAACAAGAATTGCTATGTATGTATATTAACCTGGAGGCCAAATACCCTTAATGAAATATTGACAAATGAAATCCAGAAGTATTTAAAACAAAGATTCACCAGGATGAATTTGGGCTTAACTCAGAAAATCAAGACTGATTCACATTAGAAAATCCATTAAAGTAATGCATTAGGTTAAGGCAAAAGGTGGAGGTGTGGAGGTAGGGGGTGGGGGGTGTTGGAGAAGCCATGGGAGGAAGCAAGGCTCTCCTTTCACACTTTAGCTTTGGGCAGGCTGGTTCAGACAACCCAAAGGCAGATTTCTACTTGACTTTAATTCAGGACTCAACATTGTTTTTCAGTCCTCTATGGCTTGGCAGCAATAACAAAGGTGGCAAAATTTTAATATATAAATAAAAAATGTTTCATCCTTCCAAAAAGGAACAAAGAATTTTTTTTCCCAGAAAAATTCTGAATTTATCCAATGGGCTATTAATGCTTTATTAGACACTCCATCTGAAACTTTTATCTCAGAGATTCAAACTGAAATCTTCACATCAAAGCCTTTTATGAGTACCTTGGTTTGCTGAGTTTACAGCACATAGTTTAAAGCCTACACAGCCAGGAAGAGAAGGTTTCCTTGGAAACAAGGGTGAAAGACAGCACCTTCAATCATGGTGTATGTTGCTTTGATAAATGGCGGTGGCTACTCAAGGAAAGGTCCATTCACCATTCATATGCGCTGTCCTTCAAGCTGAGACTCTGGGTCCCTGCACATCAAATCCAAGAACAAGATACGAGGGAAGAGTATGGGACTCTCATTCCGTTCTCAGAGGCTATGTATCAAAGATGCTAGGGCGTTAGTGCAGTGGTGCCTGGGTGACCGGTGCTTCCATAAGCAGGATCCAGAAAGACCACTGGGTTGGGCTCTGTGGCCTAAATGAGTTGAGAACCCTTTTTCTCTCTGTTTCTCATTGTCTCCTGATTGCCTTCCCAATTTAGATGTTTGTGTCTGTCTCGGGGAGAAACCCCACTGTTCTTTCCATTTTCAAACATTCCCCCAAAATACACTGTACAGGGCTGGCCCCACTTGGGGAAGGTGGGGCCATTCACTGGTTTTCATTATACTTAGGGCAGACTGGGCATCAGCAGCTGGGAGGCAGACCCATTAACACATCAAAAAGAGAAAATCATTTTAATAGATTCTTTTTAAAAATAAAAAGAAAGTGTGCTGTTTCAAATCAGTGGGGAAAGAATGACTGGTGTTCAAATAGTTAGCTAGTCATTTGGGAGAAAAAATAAAACTAGATCCCCAAAACATATTGCAGATGAATTCCAGAATTAAACATAAAAAAACAAAAATATAAAGGTATTAAAAAAAGATAAAGAGACTGTGTTTATGATATTAAATGGGACTAAAAGATACAAAGCAAAAGGCATAAAAGAAAGACAGATGTGATTACATCAAAATAACAACACTGCAAAGTTAAAAGACAACTGATAGCTGAGGAGAAGATATCTGTAACATATAACAAAAAATGAATATCAAGCCAGATGGACTCATGTCCTGTTGGGGAGACCACTTCATAGTCGGTGTAGANTTGGTTTATTTTTAGTTATAAAGTAAGACAATACAGAGGATTATATGCATTTTAATAGCTTTTTAAAATATGAGAAGAAAAAAGTTGTAATTAAATCTGCACTGATATTACAATAGCTACTCTCCACACGAAGCTATTGAGTGCTTGAAATGCAACTAGTCTGAATTGAGATGTGCTATAAGATACACACTGGATTTTAAAGGCTTAATGTAAGAAGGGAATGTAAAATAACTCTTGAATAATCTTTTCTATTGATTAAACATGAAATAATAACATTTTGACATATTATTTTAAATTAAAAATTATTTCTAAAACTGTTTAAAACTTTGCCAGTAGATAAACAATGGTTGCAGTAATTGCAAAAGTTGTCATTGTTCAAGGAAGTCTGGCCTCAGAAAGCTAGAAAGTGCTCTGAACAGTGTTACTCCAAGAAGGAATTTCACAGAGCTGCTGAGCAATTGTTTGAATTGTAAGGGAGGAAATCTCTTCTCTTCTAGGTTTTTTGGCCAGTCTAATAATTTAATCGACATAAGATAAACAGGAGAAAACCAATTTAATTTCATACTTATGGAAACACCATTAAAAATACAAAACTCAAAGAAGTGACCAAAGGAGGCAGCTTTTATAACTTTTAAACAAAGAAACAATAAATGTGGGAAGAAGTTAGGTCTAGAGGTAGTAAATTAGTAAGGAAGTAACAAGGTTTGTTGATACAGCCTTCTCGGCCCTCAATTCCCTATCTCTGGTGATAAGGATGTCTCTCTTCCTCCTGGTACAGGAAGGTACTTTTCACATGGAAGAGTTATTTCCTGTTTTCAGGGGGACAAAGGAAGGTCAGAGTATCCTTCTTGCACCAACTGTTTTTCAAGTAACTTTAATTCAAAATAATCAATATGCCGAAGTGGCATATTCTGCTCTCCTTCAGTATACTCTTCCTTTCCTTTCCTTTCCTTTCCTTTCCTTTCCTTTCCTTTCCTTTCCTTTCCTTTCCTTTCCTTTCCTTTCCTTTCCTTTCCTTTCCTTTCNATAGCAAACTGCATATTGTTCCCCAGTCCACCATATCAAGGACACCAACTCCTTTATGGTTTTGCTGTTGGAGAGGGATCTGCTGCATACTGTCATACCTGATCCTTCACAGGAGTTACATAGCCCTTCTTTCTCCAATCCACAGATGGGGGGATCTCAGCAAAGGGAGATTCTTGGAACACTTTCCCCTTCCTGTGCTTCTGGTGTTGAAGGCCATTCATCATCTGCCTGAATTCTTCACTGGTCTTCGAGGAAAAGGAAATAGAATGTTGTAAAGGAGGAGATTATTTTGGTAAATCAGTGAGGAGCAGAAGCACAAAAAGGTAAGCCTTCCGTGCTTACCATGTCACCAAAGGCATTCATTGCCATGGTGAAGCTATGTTTCCCTTGGCTGTATTCCTGATTGTGCAGTTCAATCATTTTCACATTCTTCTCCCACACTGCTCTCCTCCATCCTTCTTCAGTCTAGAGGCAAACATATACCGTATTGTCTTTATTTCTATTCAGAACCAACTCACCTTCACCAAGTGGATTTGCAGAGAGAGGAACAGAAACCATTGCTGGGGATGGCTTTATACTTCTGGGAGCTGTTTCCAACACCCACAAAATGGGGATGAATGCCCTAATGTCCTAAGCAGTAGGTTCCATGAAGATATGGCCTTCTTAAGAGCCGGCCTCAAGAAGCTACTCTCTGCTGTAAACTCCCAACAGCTTGGACCATTCTCTGCAGGGTCCCTCTGAACAGTTTCAGTTGTTATCAACCTCGTTATATAGTTTTCCATGTGTTGCTGTCCATTGGTTCCATTGTGCATCTAAGCCGTGATCAGCTTTTGGAACAGCTGAGGCTATTCCCAGGCAAAGGAGATTCAGGAAGATTGAAGGACTCATGTTTCAAAAACCTAGGAAGAGCAAAGGAATGAGTTTCTGATTAGACCAATCCTTCTAAAAAGCCATCTTACTGTCTCCTGAGACATTATAGCCACCGCGATGGAGTAAAAACACTTAATTTATTCTCCCAAGTAATTACACAAGGACTGTGGAGGAAGGCTACGGATGTAGGTGGAGAAAAACATCCTGAGACCCCATTCCAGGCTCTCCAGCGGTCAGAGAACCAGCTCAGGGCCAGGCAATACAGGCTCTGCAGGAAGAGCCCGGCAGGGGGCGTGCCATCAGCTCCTAANTTGGAACACCCTCCCTACTCACCTGATCAGGCCCCCAATGACTACTTTCTTTACCTGAAGGTAAAGAAAATATTGAAAGGAAGACATTTTGATCACATTCCGGACATCAAGGGTAATATGACGACAGCTCTGATGGCCATTCCAGAAAAAGAGTTCCACAATTGTTTTGAAGGGTGGACTAGGTTAGCTTCCCAAGGGGAGTACTTCAAAGGTGACTGTAGTGATATTCAGCAATGAGGTATGTAGGACTTTTTCTAGGATGAGTTCTCAACCTTAATTGTCAGACCTCATATGCTTCTTTAGCCTGCAGAATATAGGGAGTTTTTAAAAATAAATTCAAGGGTTAGGTAGATAGGTATTCAGCCTCAACTATCACTTTTGATCCTCTCACATATTTCCTACCTCTGAGGCTACAGCACTATTTTTGAAGTCCAGCCTCAAATCGAGGAACTTTTCCGTCATTCCTTGTGGACCCAAAGACAAACAATCGTCGCATGTCCTGTCCTTCCCCCACTGCAAAATAGCCACGTGATCTTCACTAGCAGTTGGAGAAGATGCACCAGAAAGTGGCTCTGTGACACGTGTCCTGTAACTCAGCTGGGTTGTAACCATCTTGTGTCAAATGACCGTGATCTCTAGGCCCTTTTCTAGTCTGGAAATCCTATGCATGCGTAATCACTTATTTAATATGTGAATTTTATTAAAATAATTTACCTTTGTTCTTATGGATCATTTGTCATATTTGCTCCATTCAAGGATGGGGTCATGCACAGACAATGGGCAGCTGAACTAAGATCTGCATATTTATAACTAGAAGAGCCAGAAGGCCACCCAGGCATAGAGGACCACTGTCACACTCAGTTACGCTTTTAGAGCCCAATTACATTTTTGACTCTACGAAAAGTTAATGTTTTAAAAACAAAAAAAAGCCTCACCTCTACTTTGAAATTAAGTTTTATTTTTAAAAGGTAAAACTTTATACATCTTTTTAAAATATAATAAAAAAGTTACTAGGCAAGCCAATTATACAAAGTTGTTTACACAATAATTAAAGAAGTGGTAACATTTTACCAGTGTAAAATGTCACACAATTCAGATCATCACTTTGATCTTCAATGATTCAAGTGTTTTATCCCCCATGATAAGGTGTGGTCAGTTTTAAGATAAAATTTCTCCTCTGGGTATTCTGTTCTTAATCACATCTCTCTTTATCACCGTCATCTCACACAATAGGATAGCTGGCCATGGTTGCAATTCCACAGTGGTTGTTCCGGTCTTTGGCCATCTTTATGTAGCCTTTCATGCCCCAATCTGTACCCCAGCTGAAAGAAAAGATAGTTTTCCATTTTATACAAAGAATCAAACACATTTATCTTTATTAACAGTCATATCTGATACTTAAGCAGTGCTCTAGAGGCCCAAAGATTCAGAAAGATGCAGGAGAGGCAGTTGTTTTTGTCATTGATTGAATTCCAAACCTGCCCGTAACTTCTATCCATATACCTTTCACAGAACTGCAAAATTGGAGACTGGAAAAGAAAACTCTTGGGGCCAGATGTGTTTCAGAATTCAGAAAAATTTCAAATTTAGAAATGAAATGGTACCAAAACTGTATCAATGCCCTAGCAAGGTTGAGACAGTATCTTTTATTTTTTATATTTTATATTTATAAATTTATTGGGGTGACAATGGTTAGTAAAATTACACAGGTTTCAAGTGTGCATTTCTATAATACATCATCTGTATATCACATTGTGTACTCACCACCCAGAGTCAGTTTTCCTTCCATCACCATATATTTGACCCCCTTTACCTCTTTCTATCACCCCGCTCCGCCCTTACCCTCTGGTAACCACTAAACTGTTGTCTATGAGAGAGTGTCTTAATGTTATGATCAAACATTCACATGTCCGTGTTCACCCTAAGTGGGATAAAGACTTCTGGGATTTCAGAAGTGTGCTTATTGGGGACCTGGATCCAATACTGATTCCAAAAAGGATTCCCTTTCCAAAATCAAAAATAAGTATTTTGGGCAATTTATACCTGTTCTTGACAATCCAATATTTATTTCTATCCAGTTCTGCTTTTTCAAAGCCATAGCCAACCACCAGAACACCATGATCCAGGTCTTCACTGCTGCATTGTGGTTCATAATAGATGCCTGTGAAAGTAAAATTCAATCCTGGGGTGAGACCCGCCAAGTGACACGTGACAGTGACCCAGCTTAGCAACCACAGTAAGGGCAGCATCTCAAAATTCAGTTAAATGACAGAAATCCAGGTAAGATTTAAAAACAAGATTATTTTTTAAATCTGGGCTAGGAATTTAAGCCCTCCTGTAATACTAGCAGAAATATAAATTGCCACTATCACTTTTATAATTAACATGTCCAGAGGTATAAATGACGACTCGTTGAAACCTTGTCATTCTACTTTTACGATGTCAGTCTAAAGAAACAGCACAAAACACAAAATTACTTGAACCAAATGCTCTTTCCAATTTTAATTATAGTAGTAAAATTCTTTGAAAGTTTTAAAGGTCTAACAATTTTTTTTAAGTACAATAAGTAAAGCTATACCAATTGAATTATGTAGCCACAAATGGAAACATCAGGCACAAATACTACATGTACAGAATATACAGCTTTGTTAAATCCATATACCCAGAAATTCTCCATTGAATTTTACATTCCAAAGAAACAATTTTGCTGTATGTCAGGGTGGTTTTCTAATTTTTCTGCCTAAATTTGTACAAAGATAAATGCTTACCATTTTTATAAAACTGGAAGGAACTATAGCTTGCATCTATACCAACAGATATGGGCCCCACTCGTGCCACTGCCCTCATAAGGGAGTTCTCCTGCTTACGGATGTCCACAAAACCAGTGACATTGGCAGCAGAAAACTCAGGCTTGTATTTGCAGGATTCATCCTTTCAAAGGTAAAAGGGGAGAAACTTTATTATGACCCACCTCCTGGGGAACATGAGTTCAAGACAGTTTGCGGCTTAATGATTTCCAAGTCAAGTTTTTTATAAAGCATTCCAGGAGGTACAATACTATTGGTTCCTTTGAAACTAGCTGNGTACCAAAAGGGGTCTTTGCTTTAGCTTCACTGCTTAACTCTTGAAACTATGAGAATGTATTCATACATAACTCGTGTATAAACTCATCCTTTAATTCATTCGGACAGCAGACTGTGTGCTTGCTGTGTGCCAGGTCCTGGGAATAGAAAGATGAACAAAAGAAAACTTCTTGATCTCTGTATAGATTCAATGTTATTGTGTGGAGAGACAATAAACAAAACCAACAAATAAAATATATGTCAGCTGGTTTAAATTCTATGGGAAAAGTAAACCTGGGAAGGGAAGAGCAGTGGTAAAAGAGGTTATTTTAATTTTAGTTCTGGTCAAGGATGGACTTCGTGGACAGGGTGACATTCCCGCTAGTTTCAGATGGAGGGGAAGAGCCTTGAATACACCTGAGGGAACTCCTCATAAGGAAGGGAACAGAAAACACATACAAAGGCAAACTAAAAGAACATTTCAAAACATTAAAACATACTACACTCAATTTTTTAGGCATTCTTCCAGGATCTTATTCTCACCACCTCGCATCAGGAATGGCTTGATCCATATCTGAGAGTTGGAGAAGCGAGTGGGAAGAAGACAAATAAACGTTCCAGCAGGGGAGTGGTAAACTCCACTGTTTTCTTGCACGTTCCTTAACAAAGGAGCTTCTCAGGCACAAGAGGGCTTTCTGTTTGGAAATGAAGCTCATCTCCAGGAAGCTATCTGCTTTATTAATGAAAAAACATACAGCCTAAGGAAAAAGCTTATAAGAGTTTATTTGAGCCAGGGAGCAAAGTTTCAACGGATTGAGAAAATGCTCTCGAAAATGGCCATTTTACAACTTATTTTATACATTACAATCAAATGACGATGATTACATGAAATCCATTGGTTGTAGATTAAGGCAGTAGGAGAAAGCAAAGAGGGGAAATCTCTGGGATTGGATGAAAAGTAAAATGAAGAAACACACACTTCTTTTACATTGGTGGGTACAGGATAGTTAATAACATTTTACAGCATATACAGATAGTATTGGGGAAAAGATAACAATGAGGGATTTTGCAGGGACACTTTTCTCAGATGCAGCTTTCATGCCATGGAGCCCAAGCCAAGGAGCAGCCCATGTAGGTGCTCTGGTCAGCAGCTCTGGCTGAATGCTCAGCTCACACCAGCATCTGAGACAGCCGTGTGACTGAACCCACTTGGATATGAGCCCAGTGAGACTTCCAGATGATTCCAGCATGTATGAGTTTTCTCCAAGGGAAAACCACACAGATAACCCCACTTAGGAAATGAGAAAGATGTTTTTCAGGCTGCTACATTTCCAGGGGTTTGTTTTACAATAATAGATAACCAGAACAGTGTTATTACTGCATTCCCCCGGGGTTACCCCATGCCCTAAAAACCCACGTGTGGACCCAGCCTCATCTCCCAAACTCAGCTTACTCACTTCCCACTTTTTCTAAATGCAGTTTCTCTATTCCCAGGGATTCTGACCATGAGTCTCTGCTCAGACACCCACCTTTTATCCTGTCTTATTGACTGGCTCCTCTGGGTTCATCTCAGATTCCTGTTTCTCCTGGTGCTCTCAGCTATCTCCCTGTCCCTAACAACACCAGCTCCTTCTTGAGGTTGGAAATGTCCCTTTCACTAGGTGATGACTGGGACACAGTGAGAGCTACATCAATTCTGGTTGTTTCAACAAAGGTCCCAACCGGCATAAGGAATTCAGCTGGGGAGCTTCCCAAATCTTCCTGTGACTGCACTTGTTAGTACTCTCACAGAACCCACAAAATTTCATTCCAAACACATTTGTCATTTTAGGTCAAAAGTTGGAAATTTAAGGACCTATGAGGGTACCAGCATGGTACATGATCCAGTACAAATGGACTTGATCAGAGGCTGCTGGAGCCTTATGGGCTGAGACCTCAGTTGTCCTCCACCTCATGTCCTCAAAAGGAACTATGAACTCTATTAACTAAACACTTCCACCTACTCTGTGTATTTCCTTCAAGGGGAACATGAGAATTTTAAAAACACAAAGAACAAATGGAACTATACAAAGTCTGACATTTATGTTCACAAACTTGCCACCGTGTGCTTACATTGGCAGCACTGTACAAAAAGCTCAATAAGGTTTCAAAACCTTGGTATATCAGTGTCTCACAGCTGTGTTCATATTGACATGTGGTGGTGTCTTGCTGAGTGGTGTTCATTATTATTGTTGCGTGTTTTTGTGTGCCATCGCGAGAATGCCTGATCTTGAATTAGAGCAATGGACAAACATTAAATTTCTTGTTAAGTTTGGCAAGAGTGGAGGTGAAATCAGGGACATGTTAGTCCAAGTTTATGGGGATAATGCCATGAAGAAAATGGCAGTGTACAAATGAATTAAACATTTTCCTGAGGGGAGAGAATGTGTCACTGATGAAGAGAGGTCAGGGCAGCCAGTAACGAGCAGAACTGATGAAAATATTGCAAAACTTCGTTGAATTGTGCATCAAATTCGTTGGCTGACTGTGAGAAGCATAGCAGACCAAGTAAACATTGATAGAGAAACAGTTAAGAAAATCTTAACTGAAAATCTTGGCATGAGAGAGGTGTGTTCAA